ACTTTTATTTTTATAATTTGTCACGTAAGCGAAATGGATATTATTTGTTAAAAATAAAGAATATTATTAAAGTACATATGTAGTTTTAGTAGCTACAAATAAAAACAAAATAAACATTATATTTCATACAGTCACACTTTATGTAGCTATATTAAATCGTAGCTGTATAGAGTGTTATAGATTTTTGTATGATTCTAAATAGCGTGTGTCCATATACAGGTTACTTAAAAAATAGAATAAAAAAGTTTACTCCTTTTCACCTAAAAAAGTAATAACGTAAAAATACGTATACACGTAGAAGAGCTCATCTGTTGTCACTGGATTGTAACTAGCTTTTATCTAACTGATTCGTTTTAGTACCCTGCTGCTATAGAAAATTGACATTGGTATAAAAGTGTTTCAGTTCGTAAAATACTTTTAACTGGGGTATAATTCTAGAAGCTTTAATTTTTTCTCATTCAGATTTTAAATTCATTTAGTAGAAATAGTAAAAACATAAAAACATACTGCTACATATACTTGAATAAAAAATAATAATTTAAATTATGTAGCGGCTTTCAAATTATATTTAGGAAAACGAAAAATAGTATTACCTAACTATAAACTTATCCATTTCTAGATTGACAGATACCAAAAGAGTAAGCAGGATTTGTGAGAGGCAGAGGCACAAGAGAACAAATTCTCAACATTAGACAAATCATCAAGAAATCTTATGAATTGAACAACCCTTTCATTTATTGATTACAACAAAACCTACGATTGCGTCGACTGGAACCGATTGTGGTCCATACTGGTGGAGATGGGAGTGCCTAGGCACCTAATCTCGCTATTACAAAATCTTTACACCAACAATGTGGGCCTAGTCAAGATAGACAAGATTATCTCAAATCCCTTCAAATTTCTGAAAAGAGCTCGGCAGGGTTGGAGAGTACATAATGCGACGTCCATACGAAATTGGGAAGGGGGAGTATCAATAGGCGGTAATAAGATCACCAACTTACGTTATGATGACGATACAACTCTCTACGCTGCGAACTGGGAGCTGCGAAATGGGGTTACATATTTATAGGAGCAAAACTTAAGTAATGGTGGTAGACTGTAGAAGCGAACTTACTATTACTGGCGCATTAAACCTGGATACGATCCGGGAGTTTGTATATTTAGGATCTCTCATAACCAATAACGGTTCATGCGAACGGGAGGTAAGAAGACGCATAGGCATGGCAAAAACTGCCATGAAATAGCTCAATCGTATCTGGAGCGACAGGAATATCTTTCGGAAAATGAAAAACAAACTTGTTACCACTTTTGCCTTCTCCATCTTCTTATGCGGAGCTGAAACATGGTCGCCGAAGAAAGCTGAATATCTCCGTATTAACGCATTTGAGATGTGGTTCTGGCGTAGAATGCTCAGGATACCTTGGACAGTACGTCCGCGTCTATAGTATAACGCGTCTATAGTAAAAGAACAAAAAATTACAAAGTGCCTTTGAGACATTTGCCTTCGACGAATCCTTCGGCCATATTGCCAGAAGAAGCGGAGATAGCCTAGAAAAGCTATATGGTTATTGGTAAGGCCAAAAGAGGGAGACGCAGAGGGCGTAATCCGATGCGTTGGTCCGACTAGGTCCGGTCCACGCTCAAGTCCAGTGTCCACGAGGCATACACTGCGCAAGATAGACACAGGTGGCGCAATATTGTTTGCAGTAAAAGGTTCATGCGAGGTCCTTCAGCATTAAGGAAACTGACGCAAAGAGGAGGAGGAAAAATTTATTACTGTATAGAGACTCAATTGCCCCTTTTTAAAGTACTGAGTAAAAAGATTGAGCTCCGGTCTTAAGTAGGACACCATTTATATAACTTAGTGTTTTACTATAACCATTTTTTACTGTCACAATAACTTAGATAAATAATGTGTAGTATATGAACTAGTTAGCATTAATATCCTGTAAAGAATATAAAAAAAAACAACTCATTTCAATTACAGTGGTTTAGTCAACAAACCACTTTTAGTTAAAAAAATTAAAACTCAATTTAAATAAATTAACATTGATATAAATAGAACGCTGTTAAATATATGTCAATACGTAGTAACAAATAAACCTTGTAAAAATGTGTTTAGAGTGAATAAAAACCATCAATAACATGTTCACATATTTAGAAATAAGATTTACAGCAAATACTAATTACCCAAGATGAAAATTTCGTTAAAAGTTATTAAAAGTTGTACATATTTCAGACCCCTTATTAATGTTAGCGTGTGCTTCTTATAATCTGTACATAAAATATGAAATTTGTAATAAGTTATTTTATATTTAATGGTCGTTAATGTACATACACATGTAGAATACAAGGAGATAAAATACAATATATTATCATAACGAAATGTGTGGAGTAGATGGTTGTATTATTTATTTACTAGAAAACGTAATATTATCTTTCACGACAAAAAATATAAGTAAGTTCCAAAATGACCGAGTATTTGCAAGCATCACATTTTTCCTACATCTATGAAGTGAATGGATGTTAGCCTCACTGCCATTCATGTAATGGATGGGTCCCGAAAAACATGATCTGACCCTACTTGATTGAGTAATTATATATAATAATGTTAGTGTACATAAGAACTAATTAATTTTTATTTTGTTTATTATAACAAAACAGAAGCTGCTAATATGACTCCTAGATACAACATTTAATATGTAGTATGATAACGGAGTTTATACTGTTAAAATGCTGTTAAGACAAATTCGGAAGATCTAGACTGAATATCTTGCAAGATTTAGGTGTATAATTGTGTGAAAATATTTTTGTCATACATATTTAATTTATCTACATTAAGTACAAAATTATCCTTAATTTCATTTTTAAAAGGCCAATTTCTTTCAATTACACGTAAAATTTTTTGACGAATTTTCTTGAAATAGAGAATATGTGTAATTTTTCTCCATATTGTGGTATAAAAATTCCATAAGTGCAAAATGGACATAAAATTTCAAAATGTGAAGTGAAAAGTTATGTTACGTCATTAAAGTTGACGATTTACTGTTTTATAGATTCTATGAATAACGGTTCTTGTCAACATTAACATTTTATTACGACTACACGAAACATAATTTAACGAAAAGCTATACGCAAAAAAGACGTTCCCAATTAGTTTTTTGAAACAATCTTTTAAAAGGTATTAATATTTGAAAGCTGTCGTTTTACTTTCTATTTTGTCAAAATGTTTATATTTTTCAATAAAAAGAATAATAAATAAAAAGTTTTGCCTGTTATTAGTGATGGAAGGTTTAAGAATATACTTTCATATATAGAAAAAACTCTTTTATTACAACGAATAATTTTAAATAGTCCAGTCAAAACACCGAAAACATTTATTTCAGAAATACATCAAATAACAGTTACATTATACTACATATAAAATTAATCTTTAGCAAATATCAAATGGAAAATCCATTTGCTAGTGCTCTCAACTTATAGAAAGGTAGTCGGCAGTGTACTTACAATGACATCACGTGTTATTAAGTTTTAAGTATAAACAGTACAATATAACACTTTAGTAAACTAGGGTTGTACGTGTATATAAATCAAACTTTTTTAATATTAAATCGATGAGCTAAAACAATATTGTGTTACTAATGTATATAAATGTTATGAATGTATATAAAGTACTACATTTAAATCAATGTTACAGTATGAATTTATTCTAAGTGGTATCTTGCGGAATATTTCGTTTCATTCTTTTCTTAATGTCACTCACCTTCCATGCAACTAACTTAGCATTAGGGTAAGTGTTACATAGCTTCTTCAGTATTTCAAAAGTTTAACAGTGAATGTTTTCTAAAATTTTTTCAATAATAATTTTATCAATATAGCCTCACATTTTTTTCTGTTTTGAATGCTTTTCAACATCACAAAAAATATATGAAAATATTGACAACCTACTTAATATGGACATTAATATAAATATTTTTATTTTACACCCTTATGTTTAGAATTTTCAAGAATGTATATTTTATATAAGAGAAAGCGAGAATAAAATAAACAATCGGTACATGAAAGGCTACATATAGCTATAAATAGAATATTTGTTTTAATTTTGAAAGAAATTAAAAAGATATAATTCAAACTATATCATGTTGAAGGAAATGAAAATGTAAGTAATAAAACAAATTATTAAAATAAAATGGACTTAAAACCACAGAAAGACTTAAAGACTTAAAGATCACAGGAATTTCACAGGAGTGTTTTTATTTAACGATTATGTTGTAAATAACGTAAGGTACTACGAAAAACAATAATTCACTCTAGAAGAAGAAAAGTTCCTTAAATCTATTTGTTTAAAACATTTGTAATCATATCCGTATTCTACATACACCTTATAAAAATACTTTAACATCAGACATTTTGTATAACATCGAAAATACACTTAGAATACATCAATCATGAAATTATTGTATAAAATTACTTACTATCCACAGACGCTTCACGCACAAACGCATTCAGGATTCTTTGTGACGAGAAATTTAGTAGAAAACTGAGCTTAGTGATTTACACTTACAGGCACGTTAATATGAAAGGATTCTTATCAAATAACTTATATTTATCATTAAATGGTAAGATTATCTTATTTAAATTTCAAACACCAACATTAATATATATATAATGCTCATACGTTAAGATAAGTCATGCATATAGTGTTCACATTATAAATTATATTACATGTATAATTATGCAACAGTTATTCTTTATATTTACTGCTGCACTAATGGTCATATTTGAACCATTTAATTTATCGGTAAAAGCATAAATTACAATTTTTTTATATTAAATGACAATTGCCCCCCAAATAAACAATTTTTTAGTTGTTAATTTCAGGCAAACATTTCAAGTACATTAACTAAGCTATGCTAGCTGTCACTATAAATCGGAGAATAGCGCGTTTTTACCTCGAGTACTCCACCACCGGTTGTTGGCCGCGCTTAGAGGAGGTACTCTCATTGTTCTGGTATATCGAATGAAGTATTCGGAGTGCTTTCTACTTTCTTCAGAACAATTTTAAAAGCAAAGGTATGTTTTGGCGAAACAGACGCTGGCCGTGGTGTTTCTGGAGAACGCGGTGGAGGTTGTGATGGCATTTCTGATCTGGTTCGAGTTCGTCTTGGAGGATGTCCAATCACAGGAGCAGATAATGGTTCTTTTGGTCTTTGTGGTGAAATCCGACTCGGCGACAAATGACCTGGTGAAGGTTCAGGTGTTGTCGGTGGCAACATTAGCGGAGGAAGATTTGCACATGGAGAGCCTCGCGATCCACGGCGTTCTTTAAGGCTCATCGGTGGTGGAGGTGATACTGGTGTATCATCCTCAGCAGCTGCAACCACTACCACTGGTTCAGTTCTCTGAGTTGGAGTTTTTGTCTCCGTTGCATCTGAAGTTATCGAACGTCTAAAATAATTAAGACCATTTTCTATTTCCGCCAGCGCTCTTCTCACAAATGGAAAACTTTCTGAAACTTCTGAAGCTGATTTCCGCACGGGAAACTCTGTTTCACTATCACGTTTTCTCGGTCTACAACGCTCAAAAGTTGGATCACCTGAGGCTGCCACTGTCTCAGAGATCTGTCTTGTTAAAGCGGCATGCTTAATTGAGTCTGATTTTGAACGAGGTTCTCTTGTTTTGGGTGTTGGAGATCGGCGCTCAGCAAATTTCTTGCTAGCTGCTCGCTTGATTGAGGAGAAAAGACCTAGTTTTTCAGGAGGTTTATCTTTGTCTGCTGCAGGTGTTGGTGCTGGTACGGTTGGTGCAGTGGAGGGTCCGGGGACGGGATCAGGCGCGGGACGGGGGACGTTCCCCTCGCGTTAGTTGTGCCGAGAGTCTGAAGATGGACCATCGCTCGATCCGGTCGAGGAAAGGGTGGTGTTTGAGCCGTAGGGGTCAAGCGATGATTGAACGGACATGGAACGGCCAGCGCGCCGGATTCGCGCAGGAGAGAGTTTGCCTGGATCTACGCTGGCCGGGTCTGCCTGCAACATTAGTGTTTTCAGCACTCCACAAAATATAATAACCATACATGCAGTTATTTTTAAGCATATTTATCTTGTTTTACAATACTATTTGAAGAAATGACTTAAGTACACTTTAACTCAAAGTAAAATATAATATATGAATTGTATGATCTACAAAAAAATATATAAAAAAACCTAGTCTTACGAACCTGATAAGCTAAAGCATTCATAATAATAGAGTAGGGGACCAATCCCAGAGGATGAACTTCTCTCATTAAAACATTTGCTGGAATCTTATGAAACTGTATATATTCCAAAAAATTTCCGATAACATCTTTTAAAATCATGTTTGGATTTGTATCACAATACTTTTTACTCCACATGAGCGCAGCCTGAAAAATTAATTCCAATAGTATTTTATTCTAAAAAGACCACTGCTTTATTTATATGATATAATAAATTAACAAAGTAAAAATTATTATATCAAATATATAAAAAATTAACCTGAAATTTCGTGAACTCGTCTGCTCGGAGCTCATCTCGTGCCAAAATAAGCCTGACAACATGCTGTGGAAGCAGGGTAAATGAACCCAAATTCAACACATCATTGCCATGTTCATCTACAAACTCTAGTACCTGTAATAAAAATATAATAAAAATCTTAAAAACCTATTGAATAAATATTGTGATATAAGTACCTTCTGAACCAGAGATTTGGTACACTTGTATTGTATGTATCTCTCTGCAGATGCTAGAAGAGCGCAGACTGTATCAACAGTGATACAGCATTGCACAAAACCAGCGCAAGCGCGGCGTAGTTCATCCAAACCATAATAATCGGCGGCGTTCATTACTCCTAAAAATCACAAATACAAAATTATTTTTCATTTCACATATGCAAAGGTTACAGGCACTTATATATTTAATTTGCTTAATTTATTAAAGTCATCGTACAATTATGTATATTTCAAAGCACATATTAACTTGTTATTAAATTTTTTGTGGATATTAAATTTAATAAAACTCAAATAATGTAAACGACGTTTCATTTCTCTCGATTTGTTTTTCATATACCAAAAAATATTTCCTATAAAAATTTTAAATAATAAATAAATCCAGGTAAAAACAGAAATAGGACTCTATATTCCAATCAAATATTACGAGGTTTTCCTAACTTTATCAAGATCTCAAGTAAAATTGCCGAAGAGTACATTGAGTGCCAAACAATAGTCGACTGTTTTGTTCAATAAATCGATATAAGGCATTAGTATTCAAAGACCATAACTTGATAGATTCTGGCGGTCGCAAAGTGGTTTTGTTAAAAGAGGACAAAATAAATGTCTTCAGTTTTTTTACAGAAGCTGACTAAATTTATTAAGCTTTTGAGGAGCAAATTTAACATTTTCAATTTACAGTGTAGTTCACGTTTTGACATGTGAAAATAAATTACAAAAGAATTAAATGTTTTATATTGGCTTAATATAAAACATTTAATACTTTTGTAATTTATAATGGCGATAATTCAGTTAACTCATTGATATAATCATGTTATATAACGTCTTGTTTCAGTTTGATAATTGTGTTTTGTTGAACGTACAAACTTTTGTGATGAAATAAAACATTTAATATACTATGACCCAGGTTTCTAGTATATCAGAATGCACTTAGTACAAACTTAGTTACCTGGCAACTAATAGAGCTTTTGAAATTTAAGTAGGAAATTGCTTCTGAAGAAAGTTTATATGATAAGTTCATTAGAAACTAATTGAGTCTTGTGAGATATAACATTACTATGTTTATGTTGAAACTCAATTTCTTCTCATAACAGATAAATTACTATATATTGGTAAACACCTAATTTTTAGTTTTGTATCATAAAAGTAATAAAAAATAACTGCATACCTATAAATTAACAACACAAATGTATTTTGTAATAGTTTGTTTATTCTTGTTAACAAAAAAAAAAAACAATAGGTTAAAAAATAAACAAAAAATCTATTGTACATAAAATCAATACCTATTTATTCGAAAATATACGAAAAGAACGTTGAATTAATGGAATTCTATTTTACATTTATTTCAAGACGATAATACTTTGACGTATTGAAATGGAATAATTGTGTCATTGCTTTCTTATATCCAATAATCTTTTCTGGATTTGTATCACAGAACCAAGACTTATTGTTTATGCACGAGCTATCAAGATAATACGTTTTAGAATATTCTGTTTCAGAGATAAAAAGATTTTCAATTCATTTTATTTATAGGCTTTAATACTTGACAATGGAATATACTTTTATACGATATGACTCTTCATTAAGTGTTTCTGGGACACAGAGATAGCTTTACCATTGGAAAATTATGGAGACATAGACGTATACTTGGTAATGTTGATTCTACAATATATAATACCACAGTAAATTATACGCCACATATAAACCATCTCGCTATAATAATATTACATTTATTTTATCTTACATAATATTTTCTATACATAGTCTCGTAAAAAACACTTCCTATAGTTTTTAATACTGGTATAGGCTAGACGATAACGCAATTAGTCGATCATAAAAAGGCTCTCAATATTCATTGAGCCATTTAAAGGACAATTTAATATTTGAACAGAATATTAATTCCGTACTTATGGTTTTGTGTAAGAACAAAATGGAATAATAAATCAATTTATATAAATATAAGGATGTTATAACTTTCAAAATATAGTTAAATAATTTATAAAATAGTGTAGTCCCCTGCAAAATGTTATTATTCAGGCAAAATATTAAAGTATTAATCAAGTATTTAGTTGTTAATATTTAAATGCCACATTGATGATATGATTCGTCGTATTATGAATGCCTCTGCTGTCTAAAAATGTTAGCAGGCTGGAGATATGACATAAACGAAAAGCCCTTGTAGGAGTTGTTAGTACATATTTAGATTTTATGGTGTATGAAAAAATAGTAATTATTAATAAAGCCAACTCGTTCCCGAAGTAGGGAATGTTTTTTAATGTGATGAAAAAAAAGAATAATAATAATCTGTAACAGTTCCCCAAAGAGGGTTTGATGGTATTTGCAAATTGGAATTTTATAGTAATAGGCCATCAACTGTAGTAAAGAGTTGACCTGTTTTAGTTGTAGGAGCAATTTTTATATTGTGAAATAATGTATTCTTAACATCTATGCTGGGTATCGTGTAAAAAGATATCAAAACATAATTATAAATTTTAATTACCTCCAAAATAAGTTATAGTCATTTTAATCTTTTTGTGGCAATGAATAAAAAAAAAATTATCTACATGTATTCAGTGAAATATTAGGCAGCGGGATAAATTTCGGGTTATTATGTAAAATTTCGTGATTGGTACGTTAATATTTTACTAGATGACAGATATTTTCTATTTATTTAATATGACTCACCTAACAATGTTCTTGGCTGTAGAGTGACGCAGCCGGTATGAATGTATTCGATAAGTTGACGAAAAACATCAGGCTCAAATTCTTCTATGATTAGAGTCTGATGCTGCTGTGAAGAAGGCTGTTGGAAAATCATAAAATATAATGAGATTATTAAAATAGAGTTTGATTTTTAGAACTAAATCAAATTCACAACATTCATAGTTGTAAAATATTTACAAGAGCAAATAGTGAACGTAATTTTTTGAACTTATAACAGAAGAGAAATATTTTGTCATGAGGTCCCGTCCCGTTGTATATTAAAAAAAAAAATACAATAAAAAATTAATCACATGAAAATAGCAAAATGTTATAAACGAAAAAAATTGTTGTTTAACTGTTTGCTTTCAATTTCCATTGTGTCAATATTCGTACAAAAATCAATAAACTCATTATACAAAGCTTAATTTAAATTATAAATAGATGTGCTGTGTAAAAGTAAGACTTTTGTTTAAAACATGCTAAAGTGCCGTAAGATAAAATGAGAACTATAAAATTTATTGAAAAATAGTGAATTTTGAACAATTATAAAAATAACTCGCCATATTTGAGAGTAGTTAAATAAATATTGGTACTACAAAACTATATTTGTTGTATTAATCAATAAATGAAAAACATGTGTTCTACTTAAAAATAAAATATTATTTTAAAAATTTCGAAGCTACTGTAAACTGTGAAAAGAAATGGTAAATGTACATATGAACATCGAAAAATTTTATAAAATCCTACAACACCGTCAATTTTGAATTACCTCTTGAATTGGGGCCAATTGCTGCGCGAAAGTCGATCTCTGCAGTAAAAGATGGACATAGTAAAGATGGACTTTAAATTATTTTACCTTTTTAAAATCTTTTTCACCAAAAACAGTGAAAAATTTATTTCTATTAAGGTAACAAGAAAATTCCTACTTGAAGTTTTGAATGTTTGTTCTTGTAAATGATGTCTACTACATTCGGTTGCTGTTCGTAATTTTTTATAGCATCAGAAGATACTATTAAATATATTGTTAATATTGCTGCCATATTTCAATTCTCACTTTAATGAATGAAAAGTGACCCTGCATTCTATGGTGATTGAAATTTTTTACGGTCTTAGTAAATTGAGAAAGTTTGTAAATGGAATAACCTATAATTACAAAATAATTGTACCTGTTGAGCGGCATTCTGAAGATTAAGAAGAGGTTCTGATGATCTCTTTAAAAATAGTCTCAACTTGTTTTCTCGAGGAGCTGGTTCTTTTTTTCTTTGTGGACTCGGAGCTTGATAAAGCATTTTTTGGAAAACTCTGTAATTATTTATTATTTTTCAGTTTATGTAGGTAATAAAAATAAAGGAAATTGACTAATGTTATCAAATTTACCTGCTACGAGCTGCCAATACTGCTTTGACTGCACATACTGGTTCTCGAGTATCTCCAACAAGAAATGTAACGTCACAGAGTTCAGGCATAGAGGCAAGAAACTTCATGTCTTCAGCTAGTCCGGATTTGTTTTCAAAAGTACTGAGGTCCGGCTCCGCCTCCATTGCCACTAACGCTCCACTTCTCATTGACGACTAGAATTTAATGAAAAAAAAAATATATATATATATATATATATATATATATATATATATATATATCAGCCAATAAATCAGAAGATCATTGTAATATAATCCCTCTCACGTTTCATTTGTTAGAGGGAAAGAGGGATTTATTGCAATCGATATCAAATTCCACACTACACGGATTATATTCAAATAAAATGTGGTGTTCGTTTAAAAACATTTAAAGTTCTTTTTTTGTACATATTTTATATTAAAAATAAATGTGAAATGTGATCGTTGTCAAATGCTAAAAATTATGAACTCAATTTTTTTTTTCTTTTTAATATGCTTACCTCATCTAAGCTAAAATGACGGGTCATTGTGATATCCATTTTAATGTATCAAATTAATAAAACACTTCAGAGATATAATGTTAGCTATTTTCATTGAACGACTTTCCAATCCGAAATTCTAGCGACGACTGGCAAGGGGAAATGAAGGGGATGCGAGTCGCGGTGTGATGAAAACGTGTTTGGTCTAAGTTTTTCTCAAAATATGTTCAAAATTGAGTATTATAAGATAAATTCTCTTCAAAAAAATAAGATGAGACATATTTAGATTAATAGAAAGAAAAATGAAAGTAAAATACAATAAAAAGAAAAAAATGTAACTAATTGATCATCAATACACTTATCAAAATCAATATACTTATATTTATTTGTATAAATATACTATAATTTAAAAAATAATATAACTTGTACTATGGTGCAATGGAAATACTAATAGTATTTTCATTGTACCATAGTACAAATAAACTAGGAACCGACGCTGCAGGAAACAGATAGCGGTAGTCAAATTATAATTAAAAGCTTTTATGATGGTTATTACTTTACTGCATTATGTATGAAATTTTCTTCTCATACATATTCTTCATATTTTATATAGAGCATTTAACTCTAACTTTTTATTCATAGTTTTATATGTTAAATGTCATGAAAATAGTTTTGCAATTGACTTAAGTTTTTGAAAGATGACACATTTTTTCCCAAAAAAGCAATACAGAAATAGTTTTTTAAGATTAAAAGTTTTTATAAGTAACTTAAAACTTCTTGACAATTTAGTTTGTTTATATGTAATTAATATATTTAAACAATGAATATAGCTGACGACTATCTATGCAAAGTACAGAAATTTTTGCAGTCAAAATTTGAACTTAGCATTTGCTATCGGAAGTTAAAATTTTAGCATTTATTAGAGGTATGCTTATGTAAGCTAATTATTTAAAACAAAAAGGTTTTGGATCTTTATTATGTATTAAACATAATTTAATCAAAAATTATTGAATAAATTTTACATATTTAAAAAATAATAGTTTAAAATTTTCATTTTACAAAGTAACATTATGTTACGTTTATATTTTTACGTTTTTTACGTTTGTGTTTGGGTTTCGTCTTTGTTTCTAAATGTGGTTCACTATATTATATGGCTTAGCCAGTGAAGCAAAAAAGCGATTCTATTTGGAAAAAAATAAAATATAGTCAATTTTTTTAATGGCACAGATTCAAATATATTTATACCTAATCAATAAATATTTATTTCTTAATAAAATAGTTTCGATTTAAAAAAAAAAAAACAATACTTCTGTCCTTAGTTGGAATTTTAAAATTTATATCGGGACCAAAATTATTTTAAAATTGATTTCAGTAATTTTCTCGATTACACCTTGAAATTAATCTTCCTCAATATTCTTTTTCTATATTATAATAAAAGGCTAGAATATTTCACTTACAGATAGAAAGCAATGATACTGTTACTATTCCAGGCAAATCGAAAGATTCTCTTTGTCGAAAAAAAATATAAACGGAGAAAGAATGGTCAGTTTCTAAGAAAACCTATTGGTTTTCTATAGAAAAAAAATCAAAACAGAAAGAATAGAGTTTTTCTTATGTTTACGTAAGAAGTTGTGAATTGTGAAATAGTGCATGCCAAATGAATCTCCCAGATAAGAATAATTTAGTAAGATAGGGTAACGGTATCGAAAAAAACTTGCTATATCTGTGGAAAGGCAGTTGGAACTGTTAGGCGTTTATTGGTGGGATGTAAGGTACTCCTGGATAGGGGTCAATAGTATTGAACCCTAGAACCTAGTCCTGGAAATCATACGCTCTTGCTACCGAAAGACGGTTAGTCTTTTGGTATCAAGAGTGCAAAAGGACAATAACCACAAACGAGCGATCGGTAAGTTTTGTGAGGGAAGGCACTAGGACTATAAAATCAAACGTCACGCCTACTCTAATCTTAAAACAGCTTCGATTTTTTTTATTGGTTCATAAAACTGGTTACAATCCTTAAAATTTTAAACTCAATATAAACATGAACTTAGATTGAAACTTTCTGGATATGAACACAGCATGCGTATACATGTATATAAGTATCACTAGATAGATTTGGACAATAATAACTATAATAATGGAGAAAAACTATAATATCTCATAGAATCTTTGTGCGTCGACTTCTAGACCGAATATATTTATGTATTCGCGAATTTTAAAGCTCGTTGTGATGATAGAGCTTACGGTTCCTTGGAAAACCAATATCCCCAAAGACTATACCATTAAGGTCAATAAATACTACGAGCTCACTAACGAACTCACTAGAAATAGATTCGTCATAGATTTGTACGCGCTAGATGTGGGAGCGGAAGGTGTAACGACTAAATCTCTCTACAAACTTCTAAAAGACTTGGTTCTGTCCAGAACTAACGATCAATTCATTCTAAGAACTTACTTCAAAGGCAGTCCTAGTAGGTTCTATTTAAATTTTGTTAGATGGAGAGAGGAGCTTGGAAGGCAGAGGTGAGCGTTTAAAGCGCTTTAGATGGGGACCACTTAAACCTACATCTGAGTCGCAAGTCCCAGGCACTATTGAAGCTCTTCACCCTGCAAAGCGATGGACCCGGGACCCGCACGGTGAATCCATTATGAACTGTGTGAACTGTGGTTCCCCTGTACAAATAAGTTTCCACGCGGAAAGCATAAACATAGGACAATTTCTCTCATTCCTCATGACAAAAAAGTTCCGTTGCGATTTGAACATTCGATTATAATCCGTCATTACGGCTTGTATTTTTCGTAAAATAGACGCATAAAAAGGCAGGGCTGGAAAAGAATTCTTAGAATATCATGGACGGAACGCCGACAAATCTATCTTTGACGAGTTGAATATCAAGATGTGACTATCCTCTATCTGCACACAATGGACTTTCACTTTCTTGGGACATGTGAGCAGAGGTGGATCGGACAGTCTAGAGAAACTCACTGTCCGCATGGATGGAAAGAAGATTAGAGAAAGTATGCCCATGCGATGGATCGATGCAGTTGAGTAAGTAACAAGGAAGAAGATGTATTCCAATATCCACCAGGCTCCGAATCGAGCGGCCTGCAGAGCTGTGGTGGCTAAAGCAACCAATCATGATCACGTCTCTTAGCCATGAGGACACGAGACGAAAGAGGGAGGTTATAATTAATTATTATTGAGTTCTTTGATATTGTTGAATATTTGAAATGATTGATTTACTATTACAAATTGTACAAACTCATTAAACTTTTTCTGAGATTCACATGGCAAAAATTTTAAAGTAGCTTAAATTTTTATAAGAAAAGGATAAGAATTATAAATAGTTCTTGAGAGATAATGAAAATGAAAAGTTGATGCTCAGATGACTGGAAATTATGACTATCAATCAGTAATAAAAAGTTATTCACATAAAAGAAGACGGACATTAAAATATATCTCCATTACTTTCGATTCTCAGATAAAGTTAAGCGTTTATTACGTAAATTTTTGTATTATACTTTTACCTGCATGCAGCACTTCTTGTCTTAAGATAAGAAACCTGATCCAATTTAAGCAAACTTGAGCTCCAACTAGCCAAGAATAATATTTCAAACTTAGTTTGTTATAAAATTTATTATTCAAATTGCAAATTTCAAGTTTTAAAAAGTCAAAAGGCAAATTTTTTCAACAAATTTTGAAACGCGAGCAAAGTGATTAACTATTAGCTTATGAAATGAAATATGTAGTACTATAATTTTATACAATTTACATATAAAAAAAAACTCAACGTTAGGGCCTCTATTATATACGTATGCATATTTTTTTTATTAAAAATCAATCAATTCTTTCAATTCAGTTTTTTTAATAAAATAAAATTTTCATCATTCTTTTTGCAATAGATACTTTTGTGTTTTTTTCTTAAATATAATGATGTAATGTTTCAAAATTTGAAAAGCCTTGATTTTTGTATGGGCCGTAATTGGTTTCGAATAAGTTTAACATTTATATGACGTGCTGTGGAAACTCTGAGTTAGTTTTATTACTTCAGTGTTTGTAACATGGATCGTTATCGTAGTATCCCCAGCAGAATGTAGGACAGGAGCACCGACCCGAAAACACATATCACAAATATTGATTTTATGAGAATATGTTACACTTTAATGAAACTACATATTATGCTTCTAAAAAACTACATAGTTTATAAAATTAATGTTAAAGGTATATAAAATTCATTTGCAATAAAATTAGAACTGAAACTAATCACGAAATAAGGAGTTTCTTTCGTTTTGGATGACTTTGGATCATACTTAAAACATTTCTTTTTAAACTTTCAAGAGGTTGTTGTCCAATAAAATTCTTGGTCCTTATTTATCCCTGAACCGTCTACGACGCTAAAATGCTCCACCCACGCAGAACGTCTGGAGTAACGCCCACGCGTCTCATTTACACATCTATATTTCTAACAGATGATAATAAGTAAACATAACACCTACCTGTTGGTTGAAACTCTTTAAAGCTGCTTCGATGAAATCGCTTTTAAAACTCCAAGACCTCCAAGAAATTAATGAAGCGAAACACTGACATACATTTCAATTTTCAACAATGACTTCAACTTCCTATATATAAAATGCTATAAAACAGACGTTTTACTGTCTGAACTATGTACTCTAAATTTGTTGCTTAGCAGTTTGTAATATTTAATTTAACAAAAGCTTATTATTAAAGCTTGACAGATTCTACAACATGATACTAGGTGTTTGGTGTACACAAGGTCGACATGGAAATACGCATGCGTTAGCACGTCTACGCGCATGCTCCGAATAACCATCAATATGACACGCTCCACAGAGCCGGTGGGTATTCAATGGACTATGTTTAATGAATGGATCACAATTAATGCGATTAAGTTCATTGTAATATGCATATAACAAAGGGAAAATGAATGAATAACTATAATAGTTAATAAGCGTTTTGATACGTATAATACGACTTTGATGCTTTTATTAGTTAAGCGGTCGTATTTCTTATGTATTATTTCTTGTGTATGAAATCAAAA